ATCTTATTGGCAAGATTTAATTAATTTAATAGGACTAATTACTTCAGATGTTTGTCGATGTCAGAAATCTAAAAAAATGTGTGAAATATGATACCTTCGTGTATAACAAATGCCTCCGTTTTAATTAACAATAATTTACAATAATAAAGGACCAGGGCCGCATCAAAGGATAAACTGGACTGCAGGTTGGACATACCTGTTGTAGTCCATCATGCCGCTAGATCATTCCTACGCTAGCTACTTTCTCTTTTATAGCAGTCTAAAAATATCACAAATATTGTAAGTAGTAGGCGTCATAGGTATATGTAGTATTGAACAGCATTTGAGCTATGTGCTTCAGTTAGGATCATTTTATATTAAAGACAGTTCGATTTGTGGTTTTGAGATAATGCAGCATCCAAACCAAGGCGACTTTATTAACTACTACGGTCTATTCGTCTTAATTAAAATTAGTTAATATACTTCGAAGTAAATAGGGAACATCAATATTACGAGCAGTTGGTAACAAAAGAAGGTCAAACCAATCAACCTAAACTAAACAGATAATTACAAACAAAATGAACACCTTCCTGTCACATTAATTGGATTCAAAATGCAAAATGTACACATAGCTCTATACACTAGTAGCTAGTTCAGAATCAAACATAGGAGAATAATAAATTAAATAAAATAATTCGAAGAGGTCTGTATTCTGTCGATCTTTTTGGATCTCATCAGCGCGTCGCAGACAGCTCCGACAGAACACAGACCAACCTTTACCTGCTGTCTCGTTTCAGCAAGTAGATATCCATATATTTAAATGGACCTTGTTGGAGCATACGTAATCCTAAAATGTGGTACCGTACTGCAGATGGCGTTTACCGCGCCATTTGTGATATTTTCTAAAACGCACTGTTAAGACAGCAAGTAAAGGTTGGTCTGTGTTCTGTCGGAGCTGTCTGCGACGCGCTGATGAGATCCGAAAAGATCGAAATCGCGATCCGCGCCTGGCAGTTTCGACAGAATACAGACCTCGTCGAATTATTTTATTCGATTATGGTAACGTGCCTATCACGTTAAGGTTAGGTACGCCGGATTTCGTTTCAGCAAGTAGATATCCATATATTTAAATGGACCTTGTTGGAGCATACGTAATCCTAAAATGTAGCATCGTACTGCAGATGGCGTTTACCGCGC